TCTTCATCCCCTCACCTCCCCTCACCTGCCTGACCAGCACAGTCTCCCGGGATGCAGCCTGGGTCTTTGCATAGGACAGTTTGAGGTATGTAGCCCATCTAGCTCTCAGTCTTCTGCATGGTTTGCCCTGCTTCCTTGTGCTGCTGGTGCTGGTGATAATGCTGCTGCTAGCGCTTGCTGCCTGGCCGCGGCTTTTCTCCTGGCTTGTAGCACTTGTGTGGTTCTTGTGCACGGTATGGTATGCTATGCATGATTGCATTATTAGTGTAGCGACATCAAACCCAGCCAGCGCTGGAATGTAATTATGCTGTTGTTATTGGTGTTCCCCGTGTGTGTGTGTGTTGCTGTTGTGAGTGTGGCTGTGGATGAAATTGTTGTGAGTGTGCTGTGACTTATAAGGGAGTTGTAGTTCAGCAGTAGGTGCAGCAGCCAGTATGTGTGTTTGTTGACTGTGGTGTCCTACAAGGTGTGCTCTTGTTCGCGACTGCTAAGGCTGTGCTCAGGGTTCAAATTTGTTGTAGCTGGGCCAGCAAGGAAATTGTACCCTAACTACTTGTGTACGTGTGTGTGTGTTGTGCGAATACATTCTAGTAGTACTAATGGTGTTTTGTCTGGAGCTGACGCTGGCGCTGGAGGAGTCCACCGCCGCCCGGTCTTGAAATGATGACATGACCTAGCTGCATGGTGGCACCCCATCATGGTGTTATCTCTGCAGGGGTTTAGCTCTGCCACCCTCCTACCATGCCTGTCTGCCTACATTGGCTGTGACTGTGAGTGGTATTGACACCATGTGATAGCCAGTAAGCAACACAGCACACTCAGCACTTGGCCAAGACTGCAGCTCCTTTCCAAGCCGAAACAAGATCAAACTAGCACGGGCCATCGGTCCTGTTGGTTAAATCAGCAGATGTCTCCAGAGCTAGTGGTGGTGGTGGTGGTGGTGGTGGTGGTGGTGGTGGTGGTGGTGGTGGTGGTGGTGGTAGGTGGGTGTGGAGCTGAGGTCCTGTTCCGGAATGCACGTCTTCCTCCTTTCTTCTGCTAGACTGGCATGGAAAGGAAGTGCTGCTGATCTAGGCGTGTGTTCACTGCAGGAGCAGCATGGTCAGTTCCGACATCTACCGTCTACCATCAGAGCCAGGTGGTTCACTGACCACTGACTCTGGCACGATCGAAACGATCAAACGCTCTAACAAAACCGTGTATGTGTGTGTTACAAGAAACACGGGCATGGCTGGGGGTGGCTGGCGAATCTTGACCACTGGTCTGCTGCGATAACTTAGCGCAAGTACCATTGGAGGCCAGCCTACCGACTTGGCCAAACTGTCTGTCTGCCCAGTTGCACACTTCCAGTGCAATCTTGTCAGTGTCTTGCTGATCAGAGCTGAGCAGAGTCTGCGCAGTGGCATACACCGCAAAGCTCTGCATTCTTACCATCACCAAGCAGTTTGTGTTTGAGTGCCAGACGAAAGTGACCGGCATGCGCGTACCACGAACACCAAGAAAACGCAGAAACAGTCACAATCCAGTCACACTTGCGCCGCAGCCGCCACCCGTGCCTGACTCAGGCCTGGGGGGGGGGGGGGGGGGGGGGGAGAGGCAGGATGGGTTGTGGAAGCGTGTGTGTGTGTTGTGTCAACTAATTACTTGTGTGTGGGTAACTGTTATGTATTGTGGGAATGTACTATTCCTCTGAACCCATTGTCTACAGCAGTGGTCAATGTTGAGGCATCCCGGCAATGTGTGCCATGCCACGGCATGCGTAGTCACTTGCGCTGGTCTCTGGTCTCTCTAACCCCCAATACACCATGCTAGACGAGGTAAACATGGCCACAGCTGCTCCAGTCGCAGCCCGCAATGAAATTAGGCATACCCCGCAGGGAGAGAGGAATGCTGCGAAAACTGAGTTTTCGCCACCGTGTACCTTCGCAGTTGCACCGGTGTTGGCGATGGTGGTGGTGGTCGTAATGAAGTGCCACCATGTCTTGTGCGCTATCATCACGGTTGCTGTGCCCAGTGGGGTCAATGCTGTCGTGTTGTTGCCTGGTGTGTGCGCTGGCCACCGGTACAGCAACGATGTAGTCTTGCAGAGATATCAACTCTCTGCCGCGCGTGTGTGTGTGTGTGTGTGTGTGTGTGTGTGTGTGTGTGTGTGTGTGTGTGTGTATGTGTACTTCAGTAGAGATATAAACAGTCTGGTGGGTACAGTATGTATGATTCCACCTTGGTTGTAGTGGAGGTTTGACATGGGGTAATGATCAGACTGATCCAGTGGTTCTTGTTGAACAACACCAGACAAGAACAAGGTCAACCAGGGTGCACCTACTATTGTAGTACTCAATCGTGTAGTAGTTGTTCTTGTGTAGGGTTGTTAGACAGTGATGTCTACTACCAGTACTGTAGTGGTGTAGAGAACCTACTACTAGTTTGTCCAGGTTAGTGTGTGTGTGTGTGTGTGGGGGGGGGGGGGGGGGGGGGAGATTAGGAGGGATGCTAATGTGCTTGAGATGGATTACTACACAAGCAAAACCCTTGACTGGTGCTTGTGCTCAAAGTATCCCTACCACTGCTGCCGGCCTTGTTCCAGCTCTTGTCCACTGTGTCAGAGGGCACTGCATCAGAACTACTCTATGTATCGTAAAGGCTTTGAGAAGTCTATAGTGATAATAGTGGCATGGTCTGTGGCAAGCTCCGGTTGTGGTAGAATGCCAGTGCAGTGAAGATTTCAGTAACAGTGTCTGTGAAGCAAGACCTTGTGCTCAAAGGAATGGACTGCTGCTGGTGGTGCTACACAGACCTACATGTACATGCTAACTAGATACAATGTAATTACTACAAGTAATTACAGCAACATACCAATGCCAGTAGGGTAGTGAGTACATGATTGCATTGCTACAGTGTCCCCTCTGTACTGTCCATAGTTTGGAGGGCTACGGTGGACAGTGTGTGTATGGCTGTGAGCCACGGAAAACACCACAGACAGGCCCAGTCCAACTCCCAGGCACTGCCGCAGCAAAATATTTCCCCCCACTCCAAGCTTTTCAAGGGCCTCCTTGTTCAACCAATACTTACTTTCAAGTTCAGGGTACTTCCTCTGTACAGTCATGTGAGCAAATTAGATTGTGTTGTGCTGGGGTGGCGCAGCACAGGATGGCTGGTGAGATGTCGAGAATCTTCAGCGCACTACATGCACTGCTGAAGTATCACCAGACATACCGCAAACACGTCGGGGCAGATGTGTGTATCTGTACATGTATGTGTTCCCGGGCCAGTCAATACCTTCTCACCATCACAGTCTAGTTTCTACTTGCTGCACGAGATAGTATAGTAGTAGTAGTAGCTGTAGACTGTTTAGATCTGCTGCTGCTGCTGGTGCAGTGGCTGCCTCGGCAATGGCGGCGGCCGCAGCACAGAGTAGTGTATTGTAGTGTGCTAGTAGCTAGCAGATCACTGATGTCTACTATTGCATGTATGCATGTATGGCAGACTGCCGTGGTGATGCCGCTATGCTGCTCGTGATGCTAATGCTGCTGCTGAAATGGTCAAAGATCGACCGCCTGGTGTCTGCTGGTGTACTTGTGAATGCCAGCTAGTATGTGCGACGTCTGAGCGCCTTTGCCGCGCTAGGAATCCTGGTTTGTGAGTGTATCTTGATTGTCCTGTCTCAACGTGTATGTAGCGTATTGAGTGAGTTATGTGCTGGAGGCATGAGGCGGCAGTCATGCTTGCATGCATGCGGGCTGGCTTCACACCCGTCTTTCTGAGTGGCCTGTTCCGCTGTTTTCTGGTCTGCGCTGCGCTGAACAATCGGGTGTCCGTCTGTCAATGGAAGTCTGCGCACTCTTCCGACAGTTGAGGAGCGCAGAGAGAGAGAGAGAGAGAGAGTGTGTGTGTGTATGCGTGTATGTGTGTGTTTGTGTGTTTGAGCGAGAGTGTCGTGCAGCGTCAAACATGTCCAAGCGCACAAGACAAGGGCACTTTATACAGGGGGTGACCCCCTTACTAGTAGACTTGATGCGCTCTTGCGCTGCTGTGCTCTGCGCTGCCGCTGACTACTGCGTTATCAGTGTCTGCTGCCGCGCAGCCTCACTCTGTGTGTGTCTAGGGCTGACGGCAGCACTTGTAGAAAGCGTGTATGTCCTCAGGACGCCGAGAGCTGGTAACAAGCTGACACACGCAGACACACAAACATACACGCGTGTGTACACGCGTACACTTTCGCGCGCCACGTGACGTCGTGTGAACTATAAAGACAGAAGGTGGCTGGGCCGGTGAGGCTCAGTCGTTCAGAGCTGGTGCTGTCACCAACACACAAACCAGAGAGAGAGTGTGTGTGTGTGTATGCTCTTGGAATCATAGAAAATATTACAAACGCGGTGCATGAAGGAAAGTAGAAGTGGAAGCTGTTTCTGGATCCGTGTGCTAACTGTGGTGGGAGGACATATCTAACTTGGATGCCTGCAGAGGTGTGTGTTTATGTGTGTAATAATTCCATGGAATGCCCTCACAAATTGGTCGTTGAGTGTCTTCTCTTTCTCATTGACTGAGCAACAAGATAACTTAGCATGGGAGATAATTAGTGGTTTGTTGATTGTGTAATTGGTTGGTTGTTGGTGGTATTGGTGGTATTGAATATGAACAGAGATTTCTAAAGGATCTTGTTGCAGTGTTGGTGTGGTGCCATGTAAACTGGAAATGGATGACTGGCATGTGCCGCTCTGACCATAATCGTGCCCTTGCATTCATTGTGCGGTTTAGCCAAACTGGTCACACAATGTCTGTCATCCTTTAATATAAAGAAAAAGTTTTAAACTATCTCAATTTCTCTGGACTGAAACTTGAGCAAACTCTTTGCCACCAGTCCTTACCTGCCCGCTCGAGTAAACAGAAAAGCAACCTAATTTGTGGAGATTAATGTTTGCTAGCAAATGATCCGAATGCTACGGTAGAAAAATTACTAAACTTCTGGTTTTCTTTCTCTCTCTCTTCTCGCGTTTGTTCAGATAATACTCAGCCAACTTTGCCTTCAAGCAACAACAGTGGCAGTGGTGTCGGAGCCGGCCATCTTGGACTACTCGCCGCTCTCAGCACGCTCTGCACCATCGTCGGCGTAACCATCGTCATGACGATATTCTGCGTGTGGTGGCGGCGTCGGCTGCAGCGCCAGCGCGGCAAGATGGTCGTCACGTCGTCGTCGCGGTCGACAGCCTCGCCATCGTCCTCGCCACCGCCCTCGCGCCGCCAGCACTCGCACAGCAGTGCGGGCACGGGCAGCACACCCATGGACATCACAACGTCGTCATCATCGCAGTCAAACATGCGCTCGCCGTCATCGCCAACGTCACCCGAGCATCACCGTAACAACAGTGGAGACGGAGACTCGCCGTACCACCGGATCCCAACGACGCCCACAAGCTGCGACATGTCCTGCACCCAGGGAGAGTGCCGCCATCATCACTCGCGCTCGCTGTCAGACTGCTCCACCACGTCGACGAACCAGCACCACCACCGGAGAAGCTTGACCTCCTCTTCCTCGCACTCCACCACGTCGAGCGGTGGCCATAGCAACAATAGCGGTGGCCATAGCAACCAGAGCAGCACCCATAGCATGACTAGTGTGATGGCGTCGTCCCCGCCCCGCACCATGCCCGTCCATCCAAACACTCCGCAACTGCAGGCCAGTCACGTCATGCCCGCTCCCATGTCATCCTCGCCCACCATCGCCACCACTGGAGAAATTACGTCATCGATGACGCCATCGACATCCGACCAGCGGCATTATCAAAACACTCGCTATTCCCAGCTCAATCATCATCATCATCAACAGCCGTATAGTGTTTCCATGACGAGTGCAGTTCCCACGACAACCAACTCCGGCATTAGTACGTCGGCGCCGTACAAGGGCATGACGTCATCGTCGTCGTCGACGTCCACCGGCATGCCGGCGCTACATCGGGACTTTCCCCCGGCCTACGACGACATTGACAAGCCGAAGAAGTCGCTTCGCATCGACCCACCTCCGCAGTACTCGGCCTGTTTCGGCACGACGAGCGCACGTCACCAATCCTGTCAGCCGCCGTCGTCGCGACGATCCTCGTCGCCTTCAGAACAGCAGCGTCGCCGGCAACAGCCGCAGCCTCAGCAGCAGCAGCAGCTCTGGACCAACAGCTATTACATTACCGAGGTGCCTCCCAACCGACACGTGTGTGACACGCCGGACTGCGGCACCCCTCTGCCCTGGGACTGTCCCGGCAATGGCTTGGGCGGGAACTCTGGATCGGCAGCCAGCCATCAACACCACCATCGTATGGCTGCTGCCGTAATGCAGACGCCACCGCCAAACAGGACAATATCCAACAAGATCTGAGCCACAGTGCTCATCGACTACTCCACAGTGGAGCATTTTACCAGTCAGGCAAGCTGAGTGAGAGTAGCTATCGTATCGCCGAGTCCCTGCTGCGTATGCCAAAAACACTAGCGGGAAAGCACCCGTATTATCAGTGAATAACAAAGGTGTGCGTGTGTGCGTGTATGTGCGCGTGTGCGTGAGTGAGCGAATACCAGTTGCCATTGTGCGACAAACAGCTCTAGTTTAGACAACAGGTCTCGCTCTGTAGAGTCACTGCCGGCGACAGAACAAAAAAAAACTACGTCGTCCTATCTCTTGTAGAGTGCCTGTTAGGAATTTCATTGAGTTTATCGCGGTCGTGACGACCATTGCGGCACACTTGATCATACGTTTTAAAATTACGTACGCCCATGAGTAATTCCCCTACCCCAACACTGACACTGACTATATCTTTTCCTCCCCGTGTGCGGGGACCTTTTGGTTCAGGCTTTCTAACCGATGGCATCCACCGCCGATAGCACAAGTTGTTTTCTTCCTCAGTGTCAGAAATATTTTGTGAGCGTACTACGCCGATCGGAACCCTAGCCACTAACTGACCAAAACCATGCTGGTGATTAATTTGAGCTTGATTATTTTTTTTCTAAAAATGCTGTGGGGAATGAGCCCCAGCTGACAGAGCAACAACCCCGAGAACCAAGCCGTTATCTATTTGAGATCTATTCGTATTTTCCTCCAGTATTTTTCTTCCCGTTTATTACAAGCACGCCGTGACCTTATTCATCGTCGTGCGTATGGTTGAGTTACCGTACACCGTCGAACTGGCAGCTTTCATTTTGCAGTTGAATAATTGTTTCTCTCTCGAATCAATGCTACGATTATACCATCGATGGCTTTTTATGTGTGCCGGGGGGGGGGGGGGGGTGTTAGTAATGAAGCTGTAGAGTGTAGTCCCTGCATCTATTTTACATGTATAGTCGCGCGCTGAAGAGTGTGCAGCCCAAGAACGTCGAGCCTGAAATACTAAGAACGCCACAGCCTAAAGTTAAGAACGACGGTGTTGGTTTTCTGAGAGCTTGTGGGATACATTATGATTCGGTACGGATTGTTTCTAAGAATGTGGTGTTATAAGAACCCAGCCAGATTGCTGAAAAAATAAGTACGTCCCTGGCTAGCCCCTTGGAAACAGCGGTCTTGGACATGCGACTCTACTGTAGTACTGTAGTACTGTAGCCTTGCCCTTCTTGTTCTGTGTATGGGAAGGGATAATAAGGTACTCTGTTTACAGCATTCACACGGCCATACACTTTAGAGCTGTTGCATATCCATGACATGACCATGCGAGACAGCAATGGTGGTTCCATCTCCACCCCCCTCCCCCCCCCCCCCCAGCCATGGGTCACACGACGTCGGCCATGTTGGATCCACTGTCCACATGCCACGATCACCTTCTACGGGGGAGTCGTAAATACCTGGTACTTTACGACTAGGTGTTGGCGGATAATGCTCGGTAATATGGGGTATAATGCTCTCAGTAATGCTCCACAAAAGGCCATATAATGCTCCAAATAATGCTGATAATGCTCCTCCGGATGGAATGTAAACTGCTGAACCTTGCGGTATCGGGCTAAGAAAAACGCTATAATATTGCACCCATGCTATGCAACATAGAACGAACAATCTGGATCCGCCGCAGAGACTCAGCTGAACTAACGGCCTTAGTAAGACCGGTGCCGGCTAGAGCCTTCCCAAGTCGTTTCTGATACGCCAAGAAGGACTCCTTGACCAGCTTCTGCCTCTGAGTTTCCCTCTCCAAACGGGACTTTCCTTGTTTGTGTCTCGCGGTAGCAATATGGGACATGATTATACTCTTCTTCCCTGACAATGTTGTATGGCATGCCAGGCACACTAACTTGCCACAGTCGCTTTTGAGCGGCTCCCGCACCCGTGTTTCGGCACTGATGGCCACTTCAGTGCTCTGTCCATGAGCTACTCGCGTCCTTTTGGAAACATTTCCAGACTTGGTAATAGCTGTTTTCTGAAAAGGCCGCTTCCTCGCTATCGCAGCAGGATCTGAAGTTTCCAGCTCGACGACGTCACTATCATCAGAGGACTCCGCCAAAAGCTCATCTGCAGAAAGCCCAGCTTCCTCCCAATCCCAAGAACGGCATCGCGGCGAGTCAGCCATCAGCGTTGGCTGCTAGTTAGCTGGTCTTACACAATGGTCAATGTCCGGTGAACGTCCAGCGTTACTCTTCGACAAAGACATGGACTCTTGCTTCGATGAAAAATGTTTTTGTAACATTGTGGACGGTAACCGGGTAAGGTCTGGAATGTTTGCGTGTGCGCACCTCCACCGTTCCATGCTGGCTCACATTTGTTTCGTTGGTTCGGCGTTGTTACCTAGTGTACCTGGATCTTCAAAAAGTGTTAGTTGCTGGCCGAAGATAGACTTCCGGGACCGGAAGTTTCTGCGAGAGTTTCCACACTGTGCTGGACCACAGCTAGCTAGCACTATTGCATGCTGGGCCTGGCACTGCGTGCCACGATCTGTTTGGTACCATGCATGGTGTGTGCGGTGGTCTATCGCTTGTAGTAATACTTCGCATAGTAATAATGTTGCCAATCAAAGACCAACGCTATTCCGATACGAATCTGTACATGAGCATGCGTGTAGATCTACTATGCAGTCATGTAGAACGTCGTATAATGCCATTTTTAGCCTCGTAATGCTTTATAATGCTCGTAATGCTCCGGGTGGTGTATAATGCTCGATATAATGCCGGCATTATCCGCCAGCACCTATTTACGACTCCCTGCTTTCTGCCTTCCTCATGGTGTGCAGACTCCACTGTAGCCACTTCATGTTTCACACTGTTATACACCACTACCCAAAACGGTCTCTCGGCTACAAATTCTTCCAAATAAAAATACATAAAAAATTCTATCCAAATTTTCATGCCAGGCCCACCTTCAGGAATTTCCATCTTTACCTGTTCTCTACACAATTTTACTTGTCACATGACCAAGATGTGAACACCACCCTATGCGAGTCAGCTGACCGCGGATAAACAACGCCATAACTTACTTACTTGAAAACTTTTGGCCCATTCGATCTTTTTAACCCTTTAAATTGAGGCCCATATTATATAAATAGTACGGATATATCCGTACCAGTGTACAGTGCATACTTTTCAAAGCGCAACCCGGCGTAACTCGGCTGTCCCTTGACCAAATCGGACAATCGAAAGAGCTATCGACATTAGAATTGTCTGAGCTATCGGCTCGAAAAAACCCGAAGGCGATCCGAGGTCGGAGAGCGGAGATACGAGACTCGAACTAAATTCGCTCAGCAGAGTCAACTCGACCACGTGCATTTTGAACTCGTTTTTAGGGGTTTTCCCTGACTCGCGGCCCACGCAACTACAGATAGTTCACGTCATCGCAAAGGCATGTTTCTCAGCTCACCAGTAAAAAAATTTGAGCGATCTGCGATGCAATTTGTTGAAATGGCAGAGAATTTGAGTTGGGCGCTCGCAATGCTGGCTTTGGAGCGCCATATCGCGCTGTGGCGCTGGTTCTGTGGATCGAGTGATGGATTGCTGGCTATCGCTGTGTTCCTCTGGCCAAGAGCTTTCCAGAAAGCCCAAGATCACCAAAATCGGCCAAAGGACACCAACGTTACGACCAGATAAGTAACTGGGCTTGCGTATGCAGTGCATTTCTTGAAATAATTGTGGGCCCTAAACTGCTAAATGGTTAAGCCTACCCATACATTTATTATGGCATTCAATTGACCGTAACTTTGGTGTTTCTCAATGGATTTGAGTGAAATTTTGACCACACACTCCTGCCACTATGCTGGCCCTCAGGACATGATTTACAAGTTCTTGCGCCTCACTGACAGGCTTTCCAGGCCGGAAAACTCAAATTTCCAGCATAGTGCCACGGTGTGCGAGCCACCCAGGAGCCAAACAAATGAATTTACAATTTTTCACATTTTCGTCCCCATTCTGTCCGTGCGCGGGACCCAAACCTAAAACAAGTCCAGAAGCAGCCATGGGTGGTGGGGTAGGGCCCCTCAACGTGGCCCTGGAATCTGTCACAACTGAACGAGTGGGCGTTCTCTCACAGACTCCCACAGACCCAAGTCAATTTTTGAATTTTTTTAGGTTTAGCACGTGCTACGAGTTCGTACCTTTGATACAACATCCAGTGCTGGGACGTCCACAGCAAGCCATTTCCACAGCGCTGCACACCAAATCCAGGATACCCTCAGAAACCGGCAAAGACTACCACTCACGTTCCACTACTGCCTAGTACTGAATCCTACCTGACTTCTTGACACGACTCAAACTTGCCAAAGTCACTAAATCAAAGTCAACTGCAATAATCAAGCCACATATCTGCAACGTCACGAGGGTGCTGGCAAAAGTCCTGCAGCCCAATACGTGGTTTTTTAACATGATTTTTGGACTTTTTTGGACTTGGAGCAAAATTCTGCACACTTTCGCATCTTTCCATGATACGACAAGTTGCGCACGGTCTGCTCAGATTCAAATACAGTGCTGCCAACAAATGGCAGCGTGCAACAAAAAAATCTTTCCTTGCAAGGGCACATTTTCGGCCATAACTCTTGAACGGCTGGTCAGATCGGGACACAATTTTCAGAGAATTTGCAGCTATTCATGCTCTTTCAACTGACGTAGCACTCAATATGAATTTACAAATTCGATTTTCAGTTGGGTAGTCTGCCACCTTAATTATAAGCCTTATGCACCTTACATTGGGCCTTGTAGAATCTCGCAGACTCGGCTGGTCACAGCACCCTATTGTGTTATCTGTATTTACCACTACGAAACGTTCCCCGCAGGCATTTCATGCAGAACCCTTTTTCGGACGCAGATCTACAATTGTAGCAAAGCTAGTCATTAGCTCTATCCAAAGTGGTGGCGCTGGAAAAGCGACTGTCTGCCATTGAGCATATCGGGCTAAACTGGTCAAAAGCGCATGTACAGCACACACTGAACACTCGACCAGGAATGTACAGTAGAGCCCACGGGTGTGTGCAGTGCATGAACTCTGGCCAGTCGTCCCCGTACGCAAAATGCGTACGCATTTGGATCTACCGTACATTTCCTCGTGTTTTGGGCGAATCTGAGCGGTACGACGCTGTCGAATTGGGCCTGAATTTGCCCTCAACCAGCCGCTATCGAAGTAAAATTAGGTGTTTTGAAGGCCACACGGGAACACTGCGGCCATGTCTTCTTTCCTGCGTCGTTTTTTTGAAAATCGGAGTGTTTTTGAGCGCGTAGTTTCGTCTTCGTTGTGGAATGGCCGTGCGTTCATTCTCCTTGGAATACCAAAGTCGCACCCCCGTTTATTACATTACTAGGAGTTTTGCCGGCAGCCACGATAGTTTTTATCCCTGCTTCCATACGTCCTTTCATTGAACAGCTAAACGAAACTTTGTGGCGCGCCTTAGTGTTTCGTGGCGCGCCTTAGTTTTTCGTGGCGCGGGGTCTCAAGTTTGTCGCTTCGAGTTGTACACAACAACCACATCAACACCTCAAAGGACCAAAAACCCAAGTGAGCAAAGTATTTCAACGTTGCGATTTCGCCTGGCCTACTGTGAAGATGGAGACATCTACTCGGTAGCAGATACTCGTATCAATAAGCTGGGAGGGAGAGCGTGGCGAGTAAAATGTTGGGATGAAAAGAGCCACATTCTCTCTCGGAAAAGGTCGTCGTTCCCACACACTTGCTCTACCCAGATCTGCAGAAGGCTAGATTTTGCATGCTCGTGCGAGATTCGCATCAGCCGCGCACATAGGCAGAGTCGAAATTGTTGTGCTCTCGGATTTGCCGCCATCTTGACGAGTG